CACCGGCAGCCGCAAGCAGCAGCCTCGGGAGCCGGAGCTGGAACGGCCGGGGGCGGCGGCGGCGGCGCTGAGGGTGAGTCCGGGCGGGCGCGAGCGCGGCGGGGACAGGCGTGGCCGGGCGGTCCGGTGCGTGGTGCGTGGGTCCGGCTCTGGGTGACTAGACGGTCTGCGGGGGCACCCCGTCTTCGGGGCTTCCTCAGCCGCCCTCCCCCCGCCTCCGCAGCCCTCTCTCCGCGCACTTGGGCTCGAGCCCGCGACCTGCGCGGACGCCCCTCCCTCAGGTATTCGCCCGGGCCGCGCTGGTGCCCGCCCTCGGGCGTCCTCCCTGTCGCGGGCGCGCCCCCCACCTCCCCTCCACGTCGCAGGTCTCTGCTTACACTGCTTGCGCCCTAGTTACCTCCCTCCCCGCTCCCCCGCGTACCCCATTCCCTGCGCCCCCTCCCACGAGCCTCCTGCCCCGGTTTCTCGCCCTTTCCACCCCTCCCCCTCCTTCCCATCCACCCCCTTCTGCCTCTTCCCTCCCTGCCCATCTTCTACCCCCTTCCGTTCTCAGTTCCCCATCCTCCGCCACCCTCCCAGCCCCTTCCCTCTCCCAGCCGCATTCTGGAACTAAGTCTTCGCAAAAGTACAGGATAAATGTCACGGTGGAAAGTGCCCGGCTTGATCTTTTGCTATTTTCCCTAATTGTATAATTGCTGCACATGGTGTCTCTCCTGGCGAGTGCCGGGTCTGGCTATCCCGCCGCCGCTGCACCGCCGTGGGTCGCCTGGAGGAGACCCTGTGGGGTGTGTTTGTGTATGCCCTGGTGTGGAGTGTGTGTTCTGTTTGTCTTTTGTGAAGCCTAGCGCTTGTCACAGTTTGGAGCTGAAGCCCATTTTTCTCTGGTCTCTTCTCTGCAGCCCCCACTGGCCTGGTTTGAAACTGGATTCCCTCTGTCACCCCCCCCCGCCCTCCCTCCAGGTCTCATAATGTTTTGATCCTTTTGCCCTTTACCATTTCTAATGAAGATAAAGCGTAGCTTCTTGTGGCTTTTTTTCCCCACGACCAACCAGAAATGTCCAATCCATCTTCCCTTAAGGAAATTAAGGCCGCTTTAGAAAGACATCATCCTGTGCTCCGTGGCTGTTAGACCTATTTGCATGTTTTCAAGATTCGTGGTTTTGTGTTGTGTATTCTTGAGAGTCTACGCAAATATTTTTATTTAAAAGTACGAAAGGAAGTGCTAGGTTTACCTTCAGATTATCTCGTGCTTAGTTTTTTATCCCTGATTCTTTAAAAAGTATGTTTCTGAATATGTAATAATTCAGTCTGGACCTTGGAATCTAAATATTTGTGTTTACTCAGTTTGGATGCGCCTTGGCTCTTTAGAGTTTTGTATGTGGGCTGATGCTGATGATGGAGTGTTTTCATGTATTGTCGTACCCCATTCTAATTCCTCCAGGACATAGCACCTTTTCCTCAAAAATTGGGTGTTTCACTGTTACTTCCTGCATAAATACCTTTACAGTTAAGAGCTTAATATTGCTAGATGTTGTGCATATAATATAAATTATTTTATTTTCCGTTTTAGAAAAGTTTAGAAACGTAAGAAGACAAATAGGAAGATATTAAATGACAGAATTAAGCTTTTTCCTGTTGTAAAAGCTCAAATGAACACTTGCTTTTGCAGTTTTATACCATGAGATACAGATTTAAGGCTTATCTCGACTGTAATTCAGATTTATGGAGTGACTATAGTTGCTTTTATGTTATCAGTAATATTTATAACCAAATTATTTTTATGGAACATGTGAGTTTCATTCACTATGTATATGTTGCTAATTTCCAGGACTGTACTTAGAACATAGAGTATATAGCTAATATAGCCTTAGATAATTTGTGTGTTGAAGAAGGAACAATATCTAAATACTTAATATAACACGTTTGAGGTAAGTCTACCTTACTGTTTTATGTTTAGAAACCAAGTTTTACTTTGAGTCTAAAGTAAAAATATAAATTTAAATATCTTAATATCTTTGAAACTGTCATAATCAAAGTGTAGCTCTATGTTTATAACCCTGGGATTTAAGTTTATCTTCCCTCTAGCTTGCATGATTGGATCAAATTAGCTATTTAGAAATTAAAGATAATTTTAAAATACTGATTTTTAAAATACTGATTTAGAAGATAACATTTAAGGAGTTTTAATTTAGGAATTTTTATTCATTTGTACTTTAGAAAGACAAAACACCAATTTTATACTTATAACTAATTAAAATGCTCCTAGACTACTTTTTTCTTCATAAACATTAGTTGCCAACTGAGTGGTGCAATAGTTTTTTTCTCATACTTTTTTCTGTAGTTAGGCATTCAAAAAACAAAACTAGGAGAAATTCGCCTTAATCTTGATATTTGAAAAAAATATGAAAACTTTGTTTCTAAAAGTTTCTATAGTGGTTATTAGTGGCCTCAGATGAATTTATCATTTATAAGTTAAGATTTGGATGAAATAAAGTATCTTAGATCAAAAGTGGAAATAGATTTTTTTCTTTGTTGTGAAACTGTAGAAATTATACCTTTATTTGGGTATTTTTAATAGTATTTTTAATAGTTTTGTAGTGAGACTAATTTTAGTCTGATATTCTGGAGCAGTTGATGAAATTTGGGTTTCACATTATGCCTCACATTACATCATTGAGTAGTCCTTTAAGTAATTATACACTCATGGCAGTATTAGTATGTAAGTGATAAGAATATTAAGAATGTGTAGCTTTATAATTAATGTGATATACAACTAAAACTCTAGGCAGTTTATTAAACTGAAGCCCCAGCTTTAGTAACAAAGAATTTTATTTCATTTAGATTTCCATATATTTGTCGTGTAATGGATTGCTTCTGGTTTAAGATGTATAAAATAATTTCTCACTCATTTCACGTTTCTTAAAATATTGCCGGCAGCATTTTGCTATATCAGAGGGCCTTTCCCTGAGAATTGTTCTTTTTCTCGCTCCCATGCACATCTGTTCTTTCTAACATGCTCTTATGTGCATACTTATAAGGCTTTAAACTTCTGATATATTTTATCTGAAAGAAGTAAGCTGAAGAAAAAATCAGTGTTAAATCCAAAGATGAGAATTAAAGTGAAATAAAAATGAAAAAAAAGCAAGAAATATGTTAGAACTGTTAGAGTTAGATGTGAAACATACTGATATAAAATTTCAGTATTCTATTAAGTGACTTTAGTGCTCATAAAAGATGTCACAGCTGTGGAGACTGATGCTCTCCATTTACAGGATAGGTAGAAAAGCAGTCAGATTTTCCTGTCAGTGTTTCAGAATTGCTTGGGCAGAGCTATTTTTGTTTGGCATGGGGGAAGGGAGCTGTTGGGGTTGAGAGGGGTGGTGGTGGTGTGTTTGGGTGATGTCTCATTGAAGGCATTTGGTATTTTCTATTGACTCTTCCCCTTTCTGTGCTTCCTGATTCTTCCCTTCCCTTGCAATGCTTTTTGGTTTGTCTTACATAAAAATTTCAATCTATTAAAGGTCTGTATTATGAAATCGCTTTGATTTAGAGCAAGGTACAAGTTAAATCTTTGGTGACGACGAATTTTCATTATTGTCAAGTAGCTATACATTTGGACTAGTTACAGTAATAAAAAACAGTGCTTTATTTGAGGTATCTTTCTTTTACATATTCTTACTCTTGATCATAGCAAATACAGTTTTATTTCAAGTCTTAATTTGATTAAGAGTAATATAGTATCTTTTTCAAAAGGAATTTATTCCATTTATCTATGATTTTTAAAGATATATTTTGTGTTGTTAATGTCACTTCTTAAAGGTAGTTTTGTTTTTTAATGAAGAGGTGCCTGAGATCATCGCTATGCGGTGCTCAAAGAGGTTATTAGGTGACAGTAACGTGGTGAGCACAAGGCCCTTTAGAATCTGGGTTTTGTCAGTTTGGTTTTGGATTTGTCAGTACACTTTAAGCTAGTTGGATCATAAGGGCTGTGTTCATAGTAATCAAACTCAGAAATCGGTTATGATAGAATGACAGTTAAGAGGGGATATCCTTTTTCACTTACTTTAATTTTTTGTGTCTGCTCTCTAGGTTTTTACAGCTACCTATGTATCAGGGTATTGAGGAAATTGAGTTTGTAATCAGAGCTGCTTGGGGAGCATGAACTCAGAGCAAAGGGAGTTTGAAAGCCTTAAGGGATATTTCATCCAGACTGTGGGAAGGGAAAAAAAAAAGAATCTTTCAGTGTCTCAATACAGTCTCCATCTCGTGTGAAACATGGTTGTTTGGTATATTGCTGGATCAATGCTGACACCATCATACAGTTCAGTTTTTATTTAGAATTATGCGGGCCTCTGTGTTCTTCTGTTATCACAAAGGATACTTAAAACAGTTGACTAGTTTAGAGGATTTTAACCTTAGCTCTGTCCTGAGGGTTTATTCATTGGATATGGATGTGAAAGTGTCTCCCATTTCTCTGTCCCTGTGGCTGTTTTTGCTAACCTCTGTTAGAGCACTTAGCACAGTTGGCTTACCCACTAGACCAAATTTCTCATGCTTGCTTGTGGGACCAAAGGGCCTACCTCAGTGTCTGGTGGGGCGTAAGCCCTCAATTTTTTTTTGTTGAGAAAGCTTTATTGACATGTAATTTACATACTATAAAATTCACCCTTGGAAAGTGTGTAACTCAGTGGTTTCTAGAATATTCAGAGTTGTGCAAAACATCACCATTATCTAATTTAAGAACATTTTCATCACCCCAAAACGAAACTCTATACCTATGAACAGGCCTTGCCCGTTCTTCCCTCACTCTTAGCCCTTGGCAACCACTTATTCACTTTTCTCTCTCTGGATTTGCCTATTCTGGACATTTCATGTAAATGGAATCGTACAGTTTGTGGTCCTTTGTGACTGGCTAGTTTTACTTAGCATAATGTTTTCAAAGTTCATCTTTGTTGTAGCATGTAGATACTGTACTTCATTCTTGTATATGGCTGAATGATATTCCATTGTGTGGATACATCATCTGTTAGTGAACATTTGAGTTGTTTCTTCTTTTTGGCTCTATGAATAATGTTGCTGTGAACGTTCTGTCTATATATTTTGTATGTTTTCATTTCTCCTCTCAGTACATTTTGAATGGATGAAAGAAACGTTTTGACAACTTACAAAGCTGTTTTGTAAATGATAAACTTATTCATTTTATATTAGCTTTACTTGTTCCACTTTGAGGCTCACTTTCTCTATATTCTTAAGGTACCTTATTGTAGTCCTCCCATAACTGAATAAATGATTTTTGATTCTTTAATCCAGGATCTAAAATGTCCACTGAGGCACAAAGAGTTGATGACAGTCCAAGTACTAGTGGAGGAAGTTCTGATGGAGACCAACGTGAAAGTGTTCAGCAAGAACCAGAAAGAGAGCAAGTTCAGCCCAAGAAAAAGGAGGGAAAAATATCCAGCAAAACAGCTGCTAAATTGTCAACTAGTGCTAAAAGGTACCTTAATTATTGTAACCTTTTTATTTGTAGTATCACTTTATTGTCTTAAGTTCTGTCTTTCTGTTGCATTTACTCATTTTTCTGGTATGTGGACCATGAAGTTCATGGATTTTTCTTTCTCCTTCAATATTAATTCTTTTACATGGTTTTAATTGTAGGCAATATGAACTTTTTGGTATTTAAAATCAGTTAAACAGCGTGGCAGCCAGCCTTCGTGGTCTAGTGGTTAAGATTCGGCGTTCTCACCGCCAGGGGCAAGGTTCATTTCCTAGTCAGGGAGCCACGATCTGTTGGTTGTCATACTGTGGCGGCTGCGTGTTGCTGTGATGCTGAAAGCTATGCCACTGGTATTTCAAATACCAGCAGGGTCACCAATAGTGGACAGGTTTCAGCGGCGCTTCCAGACTGAGGCAGACTAGGAAGAAGGACCTGGCCATCCACTTCTGAAAAGATTGGCACGAAAACCCTGTGAATAGCAGCAGAGCTTTTGTCTGATAATAGGATGGTGCAAAAAAACCTGGCAGGGTTCTGCTCTGCTGCACCCAGAGTCAGAATTGACTCGAGGGCGCAAACGAAAACAACTTGGCAGATGCACAAAATACATATCCATATTGTGTTTGTGTGTGTTTGTGTATTCTTAGGTGAGCATATACAAGAAAACACATGTGAAAGTGTGGTGGTCTGATTTATAGTTACTTGACCATAAATATTTTATTCTGTTCAGTAACAGAATAGAGAGTAGGAATCTATTGAAATAGATTACTGAAATAGTTATTCAGTAATAGTATATTTTCTACTACTCCCTGTTAGTAAAGTGAGAAATGCTGGAGTTAGCAACTAATGCATCCTGGGTTCATTATATTAGGCAGTGGGTCAGTCTTGATACAGATTTTCTTTTTCTCTAGAGAATAGATAGATCTGGAAGGTAGATATTTGGATGATTCTCTTGCCACATCAATTGCTTATGCTGATAGGCGTGTTATTGGACTCAGCAGGGGAATCTGCTTTAATATTGTTAAATTATAGAATATCTCTTGGAAAATAATTTAAAGGTAAATTAAACTTAGTAGCGTCTTTCCTGATCCTGTGATTTGATCTTCTTATTTTGTTTTAATACCTTTTTTATATCAAATAGGTAGTGTAAATAAAAACAGTCTGTAAATTTTAGGCATAGTCAAATGTCTGAATGTTGACTGATAGCTTTATATTTTATTGGATAGTGTCGATTAGGGGGAATTCCTTTCCTGAAGATCAAAAACCGTTATGGTCAGTAGACCTTGTTTTCCTCTGGTCTAGTCAATCCACAGGATTGGGAAGAACCTTCGCAGGCCCACTGGTGGGATGTGACTTTCTAGGGAGAGATGTTGGAGTGATGGTGAGTGGTGAGCAATCCATTCCAAGGGACTAGGGTAGTCGGTTTCCCTTTCCCAGAAGTGTGTTGCTGATCCCTGACCTCTGTTGAAGGAGTTGTGTGAAAGTCAGATAGCCGCGAACTTTAAACCTTTAAACTTCTATACTAGAACATGCTTGTGTGGGGAAAAGGGTTCAGTTTGTTTTTGCTATCACATCACAAGTCCAGAGGGCCTAAGCTGGCTGACCTGGCCCCTCTGCTGCCTGCTACAACACAAAATGACCTGCTGCTGGGAAGTGGGGGTGGAGATAGGATGAATAAGAAAGGTGGGAATGGAGAAAAAAGGGCCATTGAGATGAAAGAAAGGAGGTTGGGGGTGGGTGGGTAAGAGAGATTCAAGTACAGATTGTGGCCCTATGTAAATGAGGAAATTCTAATTCAGTCCTCAGCTTCTGATAGTGAGGGTTTTCACAGGGCCTCTTCAGCTTGTCAGAAAAAGAGAGAGGAGGGGCTGGCCAGGTGTGTAGGAGTGGGGTTTGGAGAGAGCTTCTCCTGGATCTGCGCTCTGCTTTCCTGTGACTGCTAGTTAACAAAAACTCCTGTCCACCTTCTTGAGGCCCTGCCTTTTCCTGTGGCTGGGAGCATCACCATAAAATAACTCAAAATCATATTTCTTGGGTGATGTATCAAAGACCGCTTCTGCTTATGAAAGAGAGTGAACTGTATAATGTGTGAAAGTGAGGATTGTGTGAATTTTTCAAGTATGTGGGTCATCTTTTACTTCATTTTACTACAGTGTGTATAGATTATATATTCAAACCTAATTTTCTTTTTTCCCCCGTCTTTAATAGGGGATAAAATCTAGTTTTGAGATGGTGTGCGTGTGTGAAGAATCCAGGATGGTGCCTGATTGGCATGTAATAGAAATTGATATTGTTGTATTGGTGAGAGTAAGAAGTATCTTTTAAGTTACTTCCTGGCTGAAAGAAGCCCTCCATTGGCACATTTATTCCTGTGAATCTGTGATTTTCAAATTGTGAATCAAGACCTTTCTCTAGAAGGTCTCCAGGTGGTTTATGGGTGGCAGTGTCTGAAGTGACTTAGTCGTTTACTATTTGTTTCAAATATAAAAATGCTGCTTCATTATTACTTTTTTAAGTAAAAAAACGAAGTGTAGTTCTTTCCCCTTTCCTTCTCCCAATTTAATTGCTAGTGAAGTTTTTTTTTTTCTTTTTTCTATTTCTTTCTTTCTTTCTTTCTTTCTTTCTTTCTTTCTTTCCTTCCTTCCTTCCTTCCTTCCTTCCTTCCTCCCTCCCTCCCTCCCTCCCTCCCTCCCTCCCTCCCTCCCTTTTTTCCCCCAAAGCCCCAGTAGATAGTTGTATGTCATAGCTGCACATCCTTCTAGTTGTTGTATGTGGGACGCGGCCTCAGCATGGCCAGAGAAGTGGTGCGTCGGTACGCGCCCGGGATCTGAACCCAGGCCGCCAGCAGCAGAGCGCGCGCACTTAACCGCTAAGCCACGGGGCCGGCCCCATCTGCTTAAGTTCTAAGAACTGAGAAAAAAATTGGCAATCATGAGGGCAAGGACCCACATCTTTTTAATTCACCATTATATCCACAGTGCCTAGCATAGTAGGGGCACAATATTTATTTACTGGTTGCCTTAGAACCTTGAGTTAATTGTAGGGATTGGATCTTCTCTGGATATTAGGATCTTGGTATAATGTGTTTAGAGGATTCTAAGTTAGAGGTACTTTCAAAATAAAATTCTTATTTATACTTTATTATTGATAATTGACTTTCATTCAGATGAGAAGTCTTTTCAAAATAGTGTCATTTTGTGAGAGAGTTAATCTGTAGCAGTGCAGAGCTTAGACTCTAGAGATAGTATCCGAGTTTGATTATAGGTTCTGGGATTTAGTAGCCCCGTGACCTTCGATACCTAATTTGACATTTCTAAGCCTCAGTTTCCTCTTCTGTAAAATGGAGATAATAATGGTACTATCTTCACAGGGCTGTTGAGGACTAAATGTGATAAAACCTTTATTTGGCACACAGTAAGATCTCATACACTGATGCTGTCATTTATAGACTTCGTGCTAGTTAAAATCTACAATGATTTTTTCAAATCCATTTGATAAACTTTAGGAAAATGAGGTATATGATAACCTTTGAGGACTTAATGCTATTGTTAAACTAGAAATACTCAGACGCTATAATTATATGCATTTTATAGAAACTCAAAAAAAGAACCTTGCACATAGGTGGTCACTTGCATGAAATATATTGTAGTTGTAGAATTAATAATTTGGTGTAGAACGTGTTTTCATGAGTAAAATCTCAGTTTTCAGGTATTACAGAAAAGTGATGTAGGATACAGAAACCATCTAAGTGGTGTTTTATTTAAACAATGGTTTAAATTAATTCCTTTTTTTTTTCTAATTTTATTTATTTATTTTTTCCCCCAAAGCCCCAGTAGATACTTGTATGTCATAGCTGCACATCCTTCTAGTTGCTGTACGTGGGACGCGGCCTCAGCATGGCCAGAGAAGCGGTGCGTTGGTGCGCACCGGGGATCTGAACCCCGGCCGCCAGCAGCGGAGCGCGCGCACTCAACCCCAAAGCCACGGGGCCAGCCCTAATTTGTCTTTTTTAGAGTTTAGAGGAAGATTATAGTTACATCTTTGATGCAGTTTTGCTCTTTGGCAAGAATTCGTTTCTTAAAAAATTGGCATGCTTTTGTCAGTCTGTTCTCTTGATAATATCTATATCTTGTTATATTTGCAAGTATGTAGTTGGACTGTGTCTGCAGTGACAAAATTCGATATTATTGAATTGACTAGTCAATTCAATAAAACATCTATTTTGAACTCTTCGTTGAATTGACTGTACTACTTCTTTCACTTGTTCATACGTCTATAAATGTGATTTTTAAATCACATTTATTGCAAATTAACTTTATTCAGAGTAGACATTGATTTTATTGGACACAATACTGTTCTAGGAATGATATTTGATTTCAGACTCTAAATTTTTGTTAGATTTCAAGGTTGATCCCATTGTATTCCATTGTGAACTTTCATGGGTTCATCTAAATTTGTTTTCCACTTGAGAATGAAGTAGTACTCTTTATAGATAATCTCTTGTAATTACTGTATTTTCTTGATTCTAAATGTACATTTAAAAACTTTTCAACGTTTCTGAAATCAGGATGCATCTTAAAATTGTTGTGCACCATCGTTTAGTTGAGGATGTCTTAAAAATCAGTGGTCTCTTAGAATCACAGATACATGGTATATATCACATTCGGAATTAAACTTGAGGCTTATTTGCAGTGGTTCTGTGTTTTCTAGGTTAATTCAGAGACTACTCTGCGATTTAAAAAAATTTTTAAGTTAGTTGCATGATGTTTTCTTCTTGAGAATAAGTTCATTTTGGAAGGTTTTGACCGGTTGATTCATTTGGTTAGAATAGGGGTTCTCAGGTGGCTGAGGAATGCAGTCCATATGGAAATATAGAAAGTCATCTAGGTGGGATGAAGGTTTTTTTTAAAATAACTGCTAAGAAAACACCTTTGTGAATCCCCATGTCCATATATTCGTATTCTGCTTGGCCCTGAGTGAGTCATTGAGTATTTTAACCTAAAATATGTGTGTGTGTTTTAAACATGTCAGTACATACACACTGCTTCATTTTTCTGAACCATTAATCCAGTATGTTGATGTTAAAATGAGTGCTTCATATCTTCTCCATCTTGTATAATGTTGTTAACTGTATTCTTCAGTTAAATCTGAATGAATCATTATTTTTCCTTCCCCCCTCCTCTTTGCAAATGACAGTCACATACAGTACTCTTACCGTTCCTGGAGCAGTTAAAGTATTAGGTGAAGTCCTACAAACTTTTAGTCCTTATTTTGCTTCTGACTTGTCTCAGTAACTATGTGCAGTTGCTGACTTCTGTATCATAATAACCGAAGAAGTGGCACTGTCAGAAGGAAATTGGAAATTTAGGCAATTGTTTAGTGATTTATGTCTAAAGAAATAATTTTATCTTAAAGGTTCTGATAAGAGAGAAGTCTTTTTGTTTGTTTGACTTAGCAAGATAATTGTCTCTCTTTCACCTTACTGGTGTACAGTAAGAACTAGCCTTAGTTTCCTTATCTTTTAAATGGGGACTGATAAAACAGTAATATTTGGAGAATTCTGTAAGATTTTTTTACTTCACTTTTAATAGCCTAAAATCATCATGTGAAAGGTACACTGTAAGTGTGAATTATTGATACTTTTTCATTTTTCTTCACCCTAAGGGACAGTGCCTGAAATAGCTACCTTCCTACCCTACATGCCGAGACTGAGAAACTTAATACATACCATGATGACAACTTTTGAGATAGAATTGAATTGCTGTCATTGAAAACAGCAGGACATCTTGCAACCGTTTAAATAGCAATTCTTAGTATAATCTTTTCTGTCAGGAGAAGCACAACCATTCTTAAGTAACAGTGGCTCAAAGTATATTATAATATATTGACTCACTGCTCAGAGTTGTCAAGTTTATCAGTAAATTGCTTTTTGTATTGAATAATTAGATCTGGAATTATAGACATCCAGAGGGGTTCAAGTTCCATTATAGAATTCTATGACAGAATATTATGATTTATCAATTTTTTGAACTAAAAGACAGTGTAAGCATAAAGAGACAGTTGAAGCATGCTCTTTGGAATGCCTGTTCTTTTGGTCCTCTTAGTTTAAAAACAATTTGTAAAAGTTATTCATGTTTCTGGTAACAAATTAAACAGTACAGAGACATTTTTAATGGAAAGCAACAGTTTTCTGTCCAAACATCCTCCCTATCGCAGTTCCATTCCCTTGAAGCAAACTTGTTTAGCTGTCTCTGGTTTTAGTCCTTTGTCGGTTTTCTGCATAACTCTAAATAATATACTTATACCTATTTGTTGAATTGTTAACTTAAATAATATCTTTTGACTCCTTACTATGAAATTTGAGGACGTGGCTTGTTTGACCAACTCTTTCTTCCTTCCTTTTCCTTCCTCCCAGTTAATGATAGTTAAAAAAAAAAAAAGAATATTGGTTGTCTTTCTAGACTAAATAATATATTTAAGCCACTGTTTCTTATTTCTTCATATTTCAACAGTATTTCTTGGTTCCTTACTTTGTAAAATGGGGATATTAATACCTTTGTTCTTCCTTCCGTCTACTCATACCCCTCCTCCATCAACTTTTAGCTGGTTTCTATTACTACACTTAATTTTACATCTTCAAGGTTAGTAACGTACATTGTGTAGTGCAACTAGAACTCATCTTCTGTGCTTTATCTATAAGTAAAAGATCAATAAATTGTCTGTACATTTGCTATAGCTATTTTTTTTTTTTTAAAGATTTTATTTATTTTATTTTTCCCCCCAAAGCCCCAGTGGATAGTTGTGTGTCGTAGCTGCACATCCTTCTAGCCGCTGCATGTGGGACTCGGCCCCAGGATGCACGGAGAAGTGGCGCCTCGATGCGCACCCGGGATCCGAACCCGGGCCACCAGCATCGCAGCGCCCGCACTCAACCACCAAGCCACAGGGCCGGCCCTATAGCTAACTATTCAGTGACGGACCAAACAGGATATTAGGATTAGATTTCCTGCAAGTCCAGTGTCATGCTATCTAGGCTACCCAGTGAGTCATAGCATTTAGATGAAATAGATCAGATCTCTCTTTTTCCCTCTTAACATCTGTTACTTGATTAAAATTATTTTACATTTTAGTTTCCTTCGTATTTGATCTATGATTTTCTTATATAGGTATTTTTCTTCTGGAGTTTCTGGTTGTCCGTTCCCCCTCCCCCCCTTGAATAATGCGTCTTTATTATATCCTTATATACTCTGCAGCCGCCTCTTGGCAATCTCAGCCTGTTTAATTTACGCTCATCTGCTTTGTCTTTCAGAAATACACTGAAATTTCTCATCCATTGGTGACCACCCCCCTTCTCTTTGCTGTTTATTCCTTTTCATACTTGCTGTATTTTGCCGGCCCCCTGCACCCCCAGGGGGGGTCCTGAAGGAGTGGGAGGTGAATGTTTGTTCAGTTTGCTCTTTAACCTGGACTTACTCATTTAGTTTTAAAGTGCCTCTTTTATACTTTTGTGTGTGAAATCTGTAAAGAGTGTTCTCCTGTATCAGATCATTGAGACCTCTCTCATTTAATTATGGGCCATATGTACTTGATATGCATGTAAACACATCATAGAATCCATATTAGAAGGAAATCATATGTTTTAAAGATAAAAGAGATCATGGAATTTGTCCTAGTTAACCTCTTTATTTTATAGAACAGAAAACAGGCTGAGAGAGAGAGAGCAGGTGTGAACAGTCTTTTTACCCAAGAACTCTCAATTAATGGCATAGCAGAATTAAATTGAAAGTTTTTTTGGCTTTGAATTTGTTAGTCTAGCTGTACTTCATAATGCCTACCACCTTGAATCACATGGCTTAGAGAAGTGAAAATTGTATTAGTAGCATGCAATTCCTTTAGGAAGTTGGTGCCAGTCTTCTTAGAGGAGTCGCATCTATTCTGGTAGTTCTGTTTGTTGTCTTGAAAAAGATGTAGAATGAAAGTGTTTGAGAGTAAATGTTTTTGTTCAGATTCTTGTTTTTTAAGGTACTTTAGTTAACTATTGTCCATGTACTGTCACAAGAATTACCAAACAGCAGGCATCCAGCTGCTAGTGAATCTCATATTTAAAAACCAAGGCAGGGCCGGGCCCGTGGCTTGGTGGTTAAGTGCTCGAGCTCCGCTGCTGGTGGCCGGGTTCGGATCCCGGGCATGCACCGACGCACCGCTTCTCCGGCCATGCTGAGGCCGCGTCCCACATTCAGCAACTAGAAGGATGTGCAGCTATGACATACAAGTATCTACTGGGGCTTTGGGGGAATAAATAAATAAATAAATAAAATTATAAAACAAAACAAAACCAAGGCAAAGGGGAAGAAATTATTTTGAGGATTTTTTGGTATTTGGTTTAACAAAGCCTATTTTAATAATGCATGAGTGATAGTTAAGAGATTGCTAAGTATAGTCTTAGAAAACAGTGTAGCACTGTTAGCCTTTGTATATGTATATAAGGGGTTAGGTGCAGTTAAAACTCAAAGTTGAAAATAACACATGATGATAAAAGCAGGCTTTTTAAAAAAAGTTCTTTCTTTGTGTGAAGCTAAGGCAGTGACAGACATTACAATGATTATCCACATATTATTAGGCTAGTTCCAGCAGAAGTAATAGTGTCAAACCTGAAAACCTCAACCTGCTCCAACCTGGAGGTTTCAGAGAGGAATACCATTTATAGTTTGATAGCAGTTTCAGGTGTTGGGATGAGATCCTGATAATCCTTTCTTCACCAATTGATTAGATCAATCAGGATGCTTAGATTCAACTTAATATGATCATCTTTGCATGCTGTATGGGGAAGTTCTAGTACAAATCAGAGGTTGAAATGATCTATAAATAATGTGGCAAAAGTTTCCAATTTAAACTAGAAATTTTGGTTAGTGTTATCAATGGTTTAATGAAATTTTAATTTAAGTCACAGGCTGCTTGCACTGATAGTGGCTGATCTTGTTAGGCTTTGTAGGTGCATTGTCAAAATCATGGCAGAAATTACTACTTTGTTATTGTATATGATGATTTATGCAGTATTAGTATTTCAAATTAAAAACTTACAAATGGGAAATATTAGTGTAAAAGTATAATGTTTTGATGAACTATTAAGAGAGTGAAGACATTTTAACATAACTTTCTTTGTCTTTATTTTGAAGAATTCAGAAGGAACTTGCAGAAATAACGTTGGACCCTCCTCCCAACTGTAGGTAAGTACTTACGGATTTTTATTTATTTGTATTTTTTGCAGAAGGTATAATTGAACTGTTTGTTGTGCAACTGTTGTTGTAGTCTGATTAATTAGTAAAAACGTCATTGTGGTTTGGACTTACATGACTGTAGAAGACAGTGGTGGTGGTTGTTGCTGTGCAGAATCAGAATATTTAGCAAGTATGTTTGTAGTGGTCCAGTGGAGTTGCCAAAAATAGAGAAATGCAATAACAATAAGATTATTAAATTATAGAGTAAGAAATACAATTATCTTTTAATGGAAGAGGTGTTGGGTCCTTAAATGATTTCTTTAATAATAACAGTTTGGCTAAAATATTTGCTGTTTGATAATTATCCAATTGTTATCTTGTTGGAAATTGATTTTTAAAAGTGCCGGAACATTAAACAGTGTTTCTTATGGTTTACATTATTTGTTATAGTCATTGGTTGTGACTAAGTAAGAATGGCCCTCAATTTTCTGGTCAGAGTTTACTTACAGGAAGTAAAAGTGCTTGCCTGGAAGTGATTAATGATATACAGGTACACAGAGGATGAAGGGAAAAATAACCTCCTGCCTTATACTACATCTTGGGTCTGGTGCAGTAGTTGGAAGATGGCTATTTGGCTATTTTAAAACATTTCTTTCTGTTTCAATATGAGGTCAGTGTTGGAACCAGGCCAACATGGAGTTTTTATAGTTTGAATTGGTAGTCTTGTGGATTGAAGGTGAGAGGGCAGATTGCAGGAAAATGTTTCTAACATTGAATGCAGGTAGAATTTATTATTTTGTATGATTTCTGATTTTACTGGTCTTATTTTTATGTGAAAGCAAAGATGACTGTAGATATTAATGAAAGTGAAAATTTTGCAGATGGCTATGTTTATAGTTGGCTAGTTGACAACTATTTTGTGTAATAAAGCCTGATAAGCCTTATTATGTTTGTAATGTTATGGTTCTTCACATGAGAGTCATATACAGTATATAAACTTGCAGTAATGTTCAAAGAGTGTTTCACTCAAAAAGAAAAAGAACAAATATTTCTTTGTTAGGTAAAACTGTTTAACAGTAAGACTTTTTGTCACATTTAAGATTGTGTTACATCAAAGCTGTTTGAGATGGCAGATCATTGTTTAGGCTTTGGTAGCCAATTCATGTAAGAGGATTGATTTGCAGAAAAAGTCCAGTTTGAGTCAAACTTAAAATCTTGTTTCATAGGATAGTATTTATTTTAATAGTTTGAATCTTTTTTTTTAATTAACTGTTTTACTACATATATTATTTTTTTAACCTTTTTACAAACAACCAAATTGGTAAATATGTGAACCTAATTTATATACTTATTTGCTTAAATTTTGACAACAGACTATTGGCAGAATAAACTACTGTGTTTCATTAGCTTGTTTAAGGCTCATTTTTGATAAATGTAATCCACATATATCATGTGATGGTTAGACTCTGTGCAACTTTGCTATCAGATATATTATTTTCTAATACATTAGTTTAATTTAGCTTTGACTTATTAGAGATAATAATTTAACTTTGATTAAACCAATATATTGTAAACATGCATGAAACTTACCTACGGTTGGGTACTGAGGAAATGAATTACATAATGGTTATTAAATAAACTAAAATAATTAAACCATAGGTCTATTTAAAGTAAAAAAGTTTTATTTAAAGTCGTCTGACATTTGGAGATTTACTTTTTCATTGAGCCTTAGTTAATGATATCATTATTGGTTATGTAAGCTCTTTATAAATAAAGCAAAATATATGTAATAGTTTTTCATTTTTAAATGTGGCTGTCACACATAATAAGCCCTTGAGACAGTTTCAGGAAGGATACCTACTTGGTGGTGTTTTTTTTCCCAGAGTGAGATATAATTGAATATAACATTGTAGAAGGATACCTACTTTGGTTAATTTGCTTGTTAAGGAGTATTTGCAAAGAAATCCATTTAATGGTATGAAGATTGGATAGCTAATAAGTTTGCTTTAGAAGTAAGGTCACGGTGCAGTGGCTTTAGCTCCTTTTATTGATCCCCAAATAGTTGATTGGGGTGGATCAGGCAGAGGTAAAGATCGTCTCCACCATCATGTGGGTGGTGCTCCCCTTGGGCAAGCAAAGGATCCTTTGTGCTGTGGCTGATTGGGGAGTGTGGATTAGTTCTGTATTCCATATGTGCTCATGCTGCTTAATATAGATGTTCAGTATGCTTGGTAAGTGGATTACTGTGGTCTCTGGATTGTTTGGTGTCACATATTTGATTGTGGTTTATAGTAAATCTGCCCATCTATATTTCAGTGAGAATGTGGTTACTATCTTCAGAAAAAGAAGTTAGAGCATAATTTTGCTTTGGCTTATTTTTGGCACATAGTTAACCGTGCTTTTGTGGTTGATTTTTAAAAGTTCTGTGTGGCTTTCATGTGTGTCCTCATGACTGTAATGAATTAATTTATAGAGTAAATTAAAGCTATCTGCCTAATATCCCATTCCCCTTGTACTCCCTTTGTGTATTACCTTTCCCAGGACACATGCCTCTCAAAATCCTGCCTTTCGATTGCTTGGGTAATTGTTAACTTGCTATCACAGATAAAAATTATGTGTGAGGAAGCATCTGTGGGCTTCCCTGTTAAGGCAATCAGAGTGGAAAAGGATTTTATCTGTTGGCTTTCTCGGTGGGAAGGTGGGTCTGTTTCATTCCACTTAGAGTGTGGTTTATCCTTATTTTCTGGAACATTAACAGACTAGTACAGCCCTATTCTGTGTGTATGTCAGGTTAATGATGGGACCTATGAATTTTGGTGCATCTTTTATGTGATGCCTGGTTAAGCAACTCTTGGAATCATATTGAAGGAACTAGCATGTGCTTAAATATTCTGCAAGTCTGTCATCTGAACATGTTAGGAATATAAAGTCTTCCTGAATTACATCGTTCAGTATAGGTATGGTTATGTAAGGCATTTTTAGAGGAAGCTATTCTACTGTAGTATTGTTTAAATTTTTTTTTTCAGGCTTTGAACAAACCCATATATTATTTAAAAGAGCATCCACAAAATACTTTGATAATAGGTTGAATTGTTTCTTCTTATGGGAAACACATGCCTGTACATCTTTCAGTTTTCTTTTCACTTTCTTTGTTGTCCTTGAGGTAAAAATGTAATAAAATTGTTTTTTTTAAGCTGGGTTATATTAATTATCTTTTTTTATATTACAGCATAAGAGTTAATGTTTAAAAATAAAACTTCATGATATAGCTAAGGAAAAAGTTTCTTTTCATAAAATCATAGGATCTGTAGGGCCATAGGCATAGAAAATTATACATAATTTGAGTGAAATTTGGTTATATACTTAGAATATTTCCTATAGATAGTAGAATGTATTTTGCTTGGCCTCAGCTCTTAGGATGGATAACTAAATTGACTTTATGACATTTGCTAGGGCTCTATCCTGAGGCCTGTGCAGATCCATAAATGTTTTCATACCGCCAACTGAGTTGAAGGTGCTGGGCTCTTGGCTAGAACTGCGCGCTACCTCAGTGTCTTGCACATCAGCTTAGCTGAGTGGAGTGGGTAAAATTCATGCCATATCCTTACAGAGCTCTAATAGTTAGAATCGCCTTCCCTTGTAAATGTATGTCTTGTGACTTTCAGGATTCTTTACAAGTTGTCAAAAGGATAGATCTTAAATCTATAAATGTGCTAGTGTGTTCATTTATATTTCCTTGATACTAGTGGAAAACTGGCAGCCAGTTAGAAAAATCTCCAAATTAAAATTAAAATTTTGTCATTCAAAGTATAACTTATTCTTCTGTATTGCAGAGAAGCTAAATTCAAATTCTCTTATGATCTGATACTGCCCAAGTTTGTATTAGCTTTATGAGCATGGAAATTAACAGAGATCCTTATTACTTTTTGAAAGTAGAGACTACAGTAAAATGATTGGTTTGGATTTTGATTTAGTAATTGAGCAAGCAAAAGGAGGAAATACTAAAAAGAGGATATAGTTCAGTTATACTAGCAGTTTTCACTTTTTGTTGCGTATTTCAATAATCTCATTGAACACAGGCTCTGCTTTACTTTTTTTTTTTTAATTGTAGCAGTTTTATTGAGGTGTAATTTAAAGAGTAAAATTCTGTGGCTTTTAGTATATTCACAGAATTGTATAACCATCACAATCAATTTTACAACATTTCGATCGCCCCAAAAAGATACACCATACCTTTTAGCAGTCACCCCTTCCCCATTTCCTCCCAGCTCTCCCACCACCCAGCCCTAGGCAACCGTTGAATCTGCTTTGTCTCTATAGATTTGCCTATTCTGGACATTTCCTATAAATGGAATCATACAATATGTGGTCAGTATGAAGCATAATGTTTTCAAGGTTCATCATGTTGTAGCATGCATCAGTACTTCATTTCTATTTGTCTCTGAATAATATTCCATTGTATGGATATATACTACATTTTATTTATCCGTTCCTTAGTAGATGGACATTTTGGGTTGTTTCCAAGTTTTGGCGATTATGAATAATGCTGCTGTGAATTTTGTGTACAAATTTTTGTGTAGGCCTTTGTTTTCATTTCTTTTGGGTATATACTTGGGAGTAGAATTGCTGGATCATGTAGTAACTATGGTTTAACCTTTTGGGGAACTGCCAGACTGTATTCTAAAGTGGCTGCACTATTTTACCTTCGTACCAGCAGTGTATGAGAGTTCCAATTTCTCCCCAGCCTTGGCGATTGTTATTGTCTTTTTTTTTTTAATATATATATATATA